GCGCTTGTTTCTCTTCCTGAGGCCCCAGGAGTGGGTTAGAGTGCCTGAGTAGTCTGGTCACTGGGAGAAGCAGAAGAGGAGTTTCTGCTCAGGTGAGCCCGATGGGGGTAATCATTTGTATTGGGAAAATGCTTTGTACACTGGGGACTGCCTGTGTTTCGATGATTCATTAACTCTTAGCATCCTGTTAACCTCTAAGCTGCATTGAGAAATTACTAGGTTGTATTTTTATTAAGCCTTAAAACTTTTTTTATGTGCATTTGGTGCCAACTTTTTTCTGGAGCTGTATCAAAACACCAGACCTGTACACACTTGCAATGTAATTTTGATAAGAACATTTTATTATTTTTACAAGGCAGAATTGGGTATAACAGTTGAATTAAACTTAGCAATCATGTACTCAAAGTCTTTGCCTGTTGTGTGTGCATGCGTGTGTGTGTGTGCATGCATGCACACATGATTTTCTCAACATCCATTTTCCAAAGTGCCTGAACTCTGCTTCCCTTTCAGCTTTTCATTGGTGACAGGGTTTGCCTTTTTTTATTCCTTTCTTTTTTTTTCATTTAGTCAGAGGATGCCCAAATTAATCTTCTCAAAGGTTATGGATTTAAGGTTCTTTTCCTTTGAAAACCAAAGACTTAGAGTAGAATGAGTGGGAATATGCCCCTGTTCTTTTTACTTTCTGTAAGTTAAAAGTAATGATTTTTTTTCTCTTACACCGCTTGTTTTCCTAAAGAACTGAAGGTATTTTTTTGTGTGTGAGGAAGATCAGCCCTGAGCTAACATCCGTGCTAATCCTCCTCTTTTTGTTGAGGAAGACGGGCTCTGAGCTAACATCTATTGCCCATCCTCCTCCTTTTTTCCCCCAAAGCCCCAGTAGATAGTTGTATGTCATAGTTGTACATCCTTCTAGTTGCTGTATGTGGGACGCGGCCTCAGCATGGCCGGAGAAGCGGTGCGTCAGTGTGCGCCCGGGATCCAAACCCGGGCCGCCAGTAGCTGAGTGCGCGCACTTAACTGCTAAGCCACGGGGCTGGCCCAGAACTGAAGGTATTGAATTTGCCTCTGAGTTGGCTTTGAGACTTCGAGTGACGAGCCTTGTAATGACAAGATGAGGTGCTCCGCTGGCAGGGTTTGCCTGTAGTGTCAAGTCCTGCAGAGAATGCACAGATTGAAGGTCTTTCCTTCTATATTAGCTATTTTCACGTTCCTACAGGGAAACTTGATTCCCTTATGTGCATTCCATAATTTCAGGGTGATGAGACTCCTCAGACTGCCTGCCTGGAGACCCTTTACAGGAGGCTCCACACCATTCTGCTTGCTGGACTGGGCCAGCTACCAGGACAGCACTACAGAAACCCTATGTGGGGAACATGGGTTACTGGACGCTGTCTTCATTCATTCATCTGAAAACGTGCTGGGGAGTACAGAGCATGTTCCAAGAACTGGGCTAGGCACTGGCAACATTACATTACCTATTTGTAGCAGCCGCTTCAGGCACAGGCGAGCACTGAGGTCTCAGAGTGTCACAACCTATTTGTCTCCAGAAGCCAGACAATGGCTGAGCCGGAAAGGACTGAGGTAGCTCCGGCTATGTTCTGGTGAGGGAGTGAGTAACATCCAAGGGTTGCTGCCTCCAGTCCTGTGCCTTGTCCAGAAATTCACACTGGCGCTTTTGATGAGGCATAACATTTCTTTGGGAGTCACGCCTTGCAAGGATGTATATACCTATGTTACCCAGTTCATTTGTTTTGAACTCATTATATTAATCCTTAGCATACTTGGAAATCCCGAATGAAATATTCCTGTTCTATGTGTGACTACAACGTGCTATCTAAAATTCAACTTAGAAAGAAATGAGAGGGACATTACAGGGACCAAGGTGACTTTTTAGCAAGCATTAGGGGTAGATACTTAGAAATTAAAGTAGAACTTATGAAACCTGTGTGTTCCTCTTACATTTTAGGGTCTTATAAGGAGGAAAAGTTCTATCTCAAACTATCTTTACAAATCTGAAGGGAAGCCTATTCTTTCTTAAAAAGTAAGTTCTAACTCAGTTATCTTGAGCTCTCAGGAGTGTACTAGTTGCATTCTTCAGTCAGCAAGAATTATCCAGCATATCATCTTGTTAAAACTTCATTTTATTTTAACCAATTTCAAATAACAAATCTGCCCAATCACGTTAATAATAAAAATTAATCAAGTTGATGGCCAAGTCATTTGGCCTCTCACTGTGGTAGTGGGGGCTGCTCTACTGTATTTGTTATTTCAGGAATACAAAGGGGTCAAATTTCTGAAAAAGGCCTAAGGCAGAAGTCTTAAACATTCCCCAAAACACTTACAGGCTTTCTCTATAACTTGTTCACCAGCAAAAATTAAACATTTCATCTGTTTGTCCTGGCTTATCATTTTGAGAATATAAAACTAACAATTCTACATAACATATTGCATGCTCATTTGCTGGATGGTGCTAAGCCTCTTTCATGGATTAGTTTATTTAATCTTTATAACAGTCCTGGTAGGTTGGTAATATTTTTAGGCTCAGTTTTACAGGTTTGGAAATGGAAATTTAGGATGATTAAATCACTTAGCTAGGATCAAAACTCAGGCACTCTGAATCTGAGACTGAAACCTCAGTTTGTCTCTTATTAGGGTGGGTGAGCATCCATACAGCAAATTAGGTTGCAAGGGAGAGATGTGTACAATAGTTAACTGATTTGGTACAGTCAGGTTAGGATGAGAGGATGAACTGAACTTGAAGCATTTCAGTAGGTGAAAGGAGTAAGAGCATTTCTATCAGCATTAAGTGTTTACTAATGGGTTTTGTAAATCAGAATTCACACTACCTGTGTGGCCCCCAAGCTGAAAGTCTAAGTCCTGGGTTCATGGTGTCCTCAGATGCCAGTGAAAGAAAATGCAAATCTTCTGGAGCGACTCATTTTAAATTCAGGCTTCAAAGTATTTCCATAGATAAAGTTCCAAGGAATACCAGCTCAGAAGGGAGGGGAGGAGCAGCCTGAGCAAGAGTCAACCAAAAGAACAGACTGCAGAATCAGACCTGCAAAGCCTGCAGATAATTGTAATTAGATGTCAAAAAAAAAAGCTTACTAAAGAGATTTAAAATCAGTAGCTGAAAGTGGAAGAAATAAGAGCCTATCAAAACTGGTAGAACATAGGAAAATCAAATAGGACAAATAGAAATTGAACCACTGAAATTAAAAACTCAACGGATGAGTTAAACAGATTAACACATAGCTGAAGTAAAACCGGGAAATCTGAAGAAGTTATACAAAATGCAGGACATAGACGTGGACTAAAAGCTCGTTACTGGATTTTAGGATGAGATGGCAACTTGCATTTAACTGGAATCCCAGGAGGGACAATCGGACGGTAGAGAGGCACTATTTGAAAGGAAGCTCTGAAAACTTACTGAGTAGGACTATGCACTACTGTGTAGTACAACTATAAAGGTGAATCAGAACAGTTAGCCAGCTCATCATGGTCACCCTGGGGGAAGGGAGGTGCGCACAAGGATAACGTCCATTTCTTTGCAGGGAGAGTGGGCACCTGATGCTCGTTTAAGTCTCTAAGCCGTACACAATCGTTTATATATACTGCGGGACATAAGCTACGTCTTTCAAAGTCCGGGACAGTGTCGTGGGAGCCAGAGGGAACTTGCTTAAGACGACAGCCTCAGCAGGAAACAGCTCTAACGTCTGACCGGAAGCGCCGCCTGCCCCGCTCGGCCGAGCTTCCGGCCAGGAGACAGGCTTCCTCTTACGTCACGGCCCCTGCGACCCCTAGCGGTGCGGGGTCGCGGAGCTCCAGCGGGACGGGCACCGCCCCCTCTGCCTGGCAGGCGGGACTTCCGGTCGCTGAGTGACGGGCGCAGCCTCAGCAGCAGCGGCGGCGGCGGCGGCGGCTGAGCCCTCGGG